AGCCTAAATAAAGTTGGTTTCCAGTTTTCATTCGGAATTTCTTTTTCATTACTGCCAAAACTTGAAAGGTAGGAGTAGAAGGAAACAGTATAACCTTTATACTTGAAACAAATTTTCCTTTTTACTAGTCCATTTTAGCAAATTAAGAGAAATTTATTATTTTCTATCAATATTACCCTTTATCATTAAGTAAATATATATATAAAAAAATGAAAGAGAGGGAGTATATGTATATATAAACACTAAAACAAAGACACTAATCTTGAGGGTGGAAGTAATACACAGAAATCTACATTGTTGATTAAGCTCTGCTAAAGTCAGATGCTCTTAAACAAATAACAGCGGGATACTAATAACAATAAATAAAAGGATCTGATCGCATTCACACAAGGAATATTTCACCCTAAAAGGGTACAGATAAGCATATCACTGAAGAAAAATCAAGCATCTATTTCAACTTGTAATTTTATTTGAAAAGATATTGTACAACATATCTGGGTATTCATGGGAGAAAAAATTTAGAATATCCACAAACAAGTGATTGAAGTATCCAACAAGCAAAAAAAGATAACTTATAGTGAATCACTGCTGTTTCTCTCCTGGGCATCTTCCAACATCGAAGTGCACATCCAGGAGACCTGTTATGCCAGCATCAATCTTTTGACCAACCTTAACAGGACCGACTCCTTTGAGAGTCCATACAGAAATTCAGCAAATCGGAACATTGAATCAACTAACTGTAACAAGAATTGTATTACTTGAACAAGAACGTTTCAAAGTACCAACACACAAGGTGAAGTGAGACCCTTGCTGAAATTTAGAAACAGATCTCTGATAAGTAACATAATTAATTGCTCAGTGAAATACAGAAAACAGTGGGTTCGGTTACCAAATTAGTTATTAATAGAACCAGCTTGCAGCATTCTTTTAGAAAAAAGATTAGTGTAAACTGAAGCAGTTCCCTTTGTTTCTCAAGTGATACACAAGCATTGAGCCTTTAAGAAGTGCCAATGGAGGGAAGCCAAGAGAGATCCAACAATGTAACAGACCAACAAAAACACGCTCCTCTTCTCAAAACCACACACATATACATCATGAAAACACCAAGCTCACAACACAAGAAGCCTAATGACCTCAGTTTATTATTCCAGACCTATCAATTGCAAATGTTTCAATGACTTAATTATTATAATAAACTGCAATGTGAATTCAAAAAGAAATGGAACTTCCACTGAAGACTTATTTACATGAATAAATAAATTCAAAATATAATCAAAATAAAACAAATTGACATGGTTATTCAAAATATACGATGCAAAGAAATTCAAACCTTTGCGGTAGCGTGGATCCAAACCAAGTGCATAGCCTGAAACACAGAATGTTCAACCACCTAATTATAGTCCACATATTTATTGGGACAAACAATCTAATGCAGGCTCAGAAGAAGTGAGACACAGAAAGAAGGAAAAACAATTCCCAAATAAATTAACCTTGTTTTGTTGTTGCACTGCTTCCATTTTTTTAAAACAAGAAGGGTACACCAAATCGATCGACATAGCTACTTGAATAACTCTAGGGGTGTGTTTGTGTTTGGTATGGAGGAAAATGTTTTCCTAGAAAATATTTTTCTGGAAAACAAGTAGATTTTGGATTTGAAATTGAAAATATTTTTAAAAAGCAAAATTAATTTTTTGGGGAGGGGGTGGCTGGCCGGTGGGGGAAGATCAAGGATCATGTGAAAAAAATAAAAATTTTGAAATTGAAAATATTTTTTTAAATTGATGTTTTTCTCTCAAAAAATGTAATTTGAAATTGGAGGAGAGCTATGGAAAATATTTTCCTTAATTTTTGAAAGGGAAGTCATTTTCCTTAATTTTGAGGAAAATGAGTTGATTTGAAAAATATTTTTCAAAACTTTTGTCCCAACCAAACATGGGAAAATTGGAAAACATTTTCCTTCGTACCAAACACACTCTACATGAACTTATTTCCAGCAAAAAATAAATTTAAATTGTTCAGTTAGGTCTTAAATCTATTGCCCAACAAGTGGCTGTGCTACCCACACAGCTTGCCTGATGTTCGAAAAGAACTCTCAAGAGCAGCCAATGTTCTAAAAAGAAAAAAAAAAACTCTCAAAACTATTCGCGCTCAACGCTTAGTGCTATATTGGTTTCCTAATGGTTTATTCAATTTTATTGCTGCCTCGCTCTGTTATTACTTGTTCACTTTTTTTTTATTATAAGTATTTCTAATTACTTATTTTGACAAATTAAAAAAGTATATTTTTTTTTATCTATTATATCCACAATTAAATGACTAATTACCTTGAAAAATGTAGAACTTTTCATCCACTTCATAATTAATAGGAACAAAATAATAAACTCACTACATCAATAATTATTTTCTTAATAAGTGTGTCAATTTAAAAGTGGATAAGTAAAAAGGGAAAGAAGAAGTATTATTTATGGTCTTTTTTATTTTGAAAATGGACGGTTTCTGTTTTAAATTGAAATTTGACAATTTATTAAGATGATCACAATTGTTTAAGCTAAAATAACTCAGGTGGAAAAATAGCAATATGAGAACAAAATTATTTTTCTCCTTATCTAGTTAGAAAGACATAAAAAATAATATCATCCCACAATTCTCTACCTTACCCAATTAAATAATAATACAGGAGTAGAAAGTTTTAATTCAAATATAAGATGAGATTAAAAATAATGAACCAAATATTTAATAAAAATATACCATGCATTATTAATCCTTACGATACTTATCTACGGTATGCAATTGTTGTACTACTATTTCATTTTCATGTAAAGTGAATGTGCCACCTTTCAGCATTATTTCTATGATATTGCGTGGAATTATGATAAAATAAGTACGTCTAACATTGTGTATATATCACAATTAATGATTAATCATTTTGAATAAAGGCTATCTGTAATTTTAAAAGTAATTAGACTTATTATCTCTATGAAGATAGTTATAAATTATAAGGACAAAGGGTCAAAATATATCCCTAAACTATTTGAAAAAAGTCTATATATATCCTTCGTTTAAAATTTGGCTGACTCATATTCTTGCCGTCTAAATTTTAGCTTAGATATGTCCTTGTGGGTGTTAGTTGGTATGCATGGACATATGCGACTCATTTTTAGTATAACTTACCTAATTATATTATATCCCTAAATTATATTATATATGATATATTATAAACTTGCCTGTTGCGCTTAATGTAGAATATTAATGTAAAATTGATTTTCTTTCCAAAAATCAGGCAGAACTGATTTCCCCCCACAAATCACGCAGACGGATTGATATCATTCCATTACAATATGTAGCAACTTTTCAAAAGTTAAACTTTCATCTCTATCAATTCAAAATTTTGAATCTCAAATTTCCCATTGTAGATGATTGGACAAACGATTCACAATATCAAATCATCAATTCAAAATCGTCGAGTTATTTGGATTCGATGCATCATGCAAAACTGATTTCCCTACAACTTTGTTTCTCAATTCGCTTTCGACAGAACCTAATTCTTTGTGGTGATTTTGTACAGGTTAACATGATTTGCATTGATGAGGCAACACAGATATTGTTAGGAGATGAGAGGCCTCCTGTCATGACAAGAAGTAATAAGTCTACACCATTATTTCTTGCTTAAGAGTAACCTGAACTACTAATGCACGAATTTTTAGTTCTTATAATTCAATTGGGTTGCCAATCTATGCTTCTTCAAGTAATGTTGTTCCTTCTCTATGCAACTAAAGTTATGAGGTTGTATGATATCACAAATATTTTATCTTCGGTGAGATATATTGAGAAGGTAGTTATCCTCAAGTGATTATTCATCAGGAAAACAATGTAACTCCGTTCCAATCTGTACAGTTTCACAAAATTCAAAAAAATAATTTTTCATCTTCTCTATCAATTCGAAATCTTGAATCTCAAATCCTTCGTTGTAGATGATTGGACAAACGATTCACGATTTCATCAATTTGAAATCGTCTAGTAATTTGAATTCAATTTATCACACAAAGATGATTAGGCTACTACTAACATTGCTAACAAGATCCCTCTGTCAACTAGTAAGCTTCTATTTCCCCTTTTCATTGTTCATTATTAATTTTTAATTTGACTTCAGGAAAGTTTATTTTATTTTTGAGAGAAATTTGAGAAGAAATCAAGAATCAATGGGAAACAATCACCATTGATTAACATAACGAATGATTCCCTCATTGTTGGTCTTGCTATGGGAAATTTAGAGACCTAATCTTCAAAAATATCCAAAAAAAAAAATTACTTGTCAAGTTAAATACTTGATTACTTCTGAATCTTATGAGTATTTAGTGAGGGGACAAGTTAAGACTTTGTTGCAAAAGGTTGAAAAATATGTTTAATTTTGTCGTTTTAATGTGACTTGTTTGGTAGGGTTAGGGCCTTTCTAGTTGGGCGAGCGCATCCAATTCTAAAGTCCTTTCTTATGAACATACAAGTCATGCTACATTAGTGGTGAATAACACATATGTATAGTAATTTGTATCTATAGATTATGAAGTGATCATTATTTTGTATCTGGATATGAGTTGTATAAAAATGTATTAATATAATATATTGTATATGATACATGTAGCAAATGAATTAATAATTGAGATGAATCAAATATGTTTTGAATATCGAGTGTGCGTATAAAAAATTTGTATAAATGTATCAGACTATTATTGTGTATATTGTACATATATATATATATATATATATATATATATATATCAACTTTGGATTTTTGTAAAAGGTTGTATCATTGGTTATTGTAATGTACCTGGTACATTTTACGAAATTGTGTCGTTATGTGTTAGTTTGATGTTGGAAGAAGATACATTGTTTGCCATAAGCAAAAAATATGTAATTGTGGTAGATTTCAATTAGATGAGATACATTGTGGACGTTACGAACAAGAAGAATATATTACTCATGATACATTACTATTACTAAAAGTGTAAATTAGGTATATAGCATTTTTTTATAGTAATATTCTCAAGTTATAGCACTAGAGTTTGAATTTCATTGTATAACATTTAATATCTCAAGTTATAGCATTTTTAAAAAATATATAATGTTAATTTTAAATTATTAAAAAGAGTTGTTAAAATAAAAAATAAATTAAAAAAACAGACAAATTAATAATGGAAAATGGGATCTTTTATTAAATAAATTAAATATAATTATTAATTACTGTTAATAAATTAGCACGATTTAAGGGATTTTAAATTTTTTTAGATTAGTTAGTTGCCTTAATTCTCTCAAATTAGTTTAAATGATATTAATTTTTGATTTAATTCCTTGAAAAGCTCTATCAAATTGGCATGAACGTATATGTCATTTTGCTTTTC